AAAAAACAGTTTGCTGCCCTGCCCCAATGCCCCTAATCGTGCGTAATCGCTTTATGTTTACATAATTAAGAAAGATACCAACTGATTCTTCCAAAAACAAAAGATCTTCTTCAAAGTGATTTTTGTTCCTACTTATAAAGAGTAGTTGCAATTTATGTCACTGAAATAATTAATCTTTGTCTAACCATGCCTTCTATTTTAAAAACCAAAGATAATGTGCTATATATTATAGGAAAATTATGTAACTTGTCAAGGTGGAAATAGCTCTTGACCCCCCAAACCCAGGTGTTTAACCACTGTGCTTACTGCCTCTTCTCATTCAATTTATATGCTAATATGTCATTATTTATTCTGTAACTCAGATACTACACTTATATTAGTCAAGTTTAGTATAGGAATAGAAATCTCTAAGTGTAGGCATTCTTCCGAACTTTTGATGAAAGAGAGCTGGACAACAAGGGTATTTATGAACTTCTGTATTATGTGGAAAATTAGTATATTTACTGTAAGAGAAAGTTGTGCTTTCTCTGCAAAGTTAGGTCACAGAAGGGAGAACAGTACTTATACCTAGTTCTGGAGAGATTAAAACTGAGAAGTAAATGGGCATTTGGGTCAATACACATTGTTAACAAATAGCGTTCTTTAGAATTCATGATTTGGAAAAGCTATATACAAGGCTGGATTAATCTAAGTTTATTTTGTTTTGCCCCATTCTTGGTGCAAGTGTAGGACGGTCAACTGACCTTTTCAATTTAGTGATAGTCACCTCTCAGCCTTCTCATCTTTAAATTTGATAATAATGAGAAATAAAGTCCAACCAGATTGCTTTCACCTTTTCTCATCAGCACTATTTTCCCAGTAGCATTATTACTTTCCTCAATAAAATGAAAGTGAAATGCACGTATATCATATTTCATAAACAAAACAAAATTCTGGCACATTGTTAGTAGTTTATGTTCTTTCAGAGGGAAACTATGATGCTGTAAAATGTTTCTTGCGCTACCTGGAGTTGTTGATAGAAATTCCAGGAGGTCAAGAGATCTCTGGGCAGTTTCTATACATCCACAGGGGAAGTAATTGGCTACCTTCTGACAAACCTCAATGAGACCCGACTCATAGCCAGCTGAGACCAGGGTCCTCCCTCTCACTTGTAATTCTAAGACTTTCTTTCACAAGCTTGTCTTGGGTTAGTGCTGTCTGCCATTGAGCCTGGGCCAGAACTGTGAGCCAGGACTACTCCTGAGCTGTTCATTTCCCCAGTTCTACTACAAAATGAAATCCCTACGTTTGGCCTCACATCGCTTTGTTGTGTTGCTATCATTGTTATTGCTTTATTATTGTTGTTGTTGTTATTTTATATACTTAAAATTCTTAGCTTTTAAATCTAGTTTGGATTTGAGATACACAAATTCTATCATTTAAAAAAGATAAATATATATATCATTTTATCAGTTTTATTCAGTTTTCAGATTTATTAAACTGTTTCACTTTATTCAGAAACTAAAAATTCTGATTGGCCCCACCTGTAAAGTGAAGAGCCTGTTTCTATTTATTTGGATTTGGATATGCTCTGTGTTGGGAGGAGGGAGCATTTCCTCCTGAAAGAGGTTATGCATTCTTCTACAAGGAAGGTGAAATTTTTATTTTTCCCTTGGCTGGGTGTGCATTCTGTATAAACAAAGATGTTCCATGGTTCCTAGGGAAGAGGAATGAAGAATATACCTCTTTCCTAGTTCTCCCACAAGATGTCCCTCATGATTGTTGGCACGTACTGAAAAGCTATGAGGAATGATATAGAGAGAGGCTAAGAAACAATTGTTGAAAAAATCTACTGTGTGCACGGCACTGCGCTTGGTACATATTTGCCTTGTCTCATTTAATTTTCTTAACAATCCCATGAGGCAATTACCATTTTCCTTACTGTATAGATGAAGAAACTGAGGCTCAGAAAGATTAGGTCACTAACTTAAAGTCACAGAGCCTAAAGTGGCAGAGCAGAGAATCACACAATGCTTATTCAGATTCCACAGCCAAAGCCTTTCTGTGCCCCACACTACCAGTGTATGGACTTAAGTGGCCTGGGGGCCCAAACTCCACGCTAGGGTCACGTCTAGTCATTGAATAAAGTCCCATGCATTTCTCTTCGGTTCAGGGACACTCAGAATGTCAGAGTGGACAGAGAGTTTGGAGCTCAGGTATTGGCTCAAGCACTGGTTTCCTTCCCTCTTCTGTCAGCCCTTCACCTCGCATGCGGGGCGCATGCTGGTGTTCTGTTCTGACAGGTACGGTGCTTCTCAAGAGCTTGAAGGTGGCTCTGTTTGTCTGTTTAGGGCCAGCTCTGCACCAACAGCTATGCCTTAGCTTTTCTCACTTCAAACTCATTGCTTCTTTATTATCTCAATATAACATCATTGGCCATCTGGCTGATTTGAAATGTGGAGGAGATTAATCCTGCACAGTAATGATTTTCAAGTGGAACACTAAATCCATAGGGATATTCAGGGCATTTGCTTTTAAAAAATGTTTTTTTTCTAACCTGTGCTAACTGTCCCTTTATCCTTATTTAGAGAATTCCATCATTTTAATAATTTGGTACTCTTTTGCTGGTAGGTACAGAGATATGTAAAAAGAAGTGCATGCTTTTTACTTTTTTATTGATTTAAAAAAATGGAATTTTCATTTGCAGTACTTTATCCTTTATTTTTTCCTATGTTGCAGGTAAAATGTCATTTGATTTAAACTGACGTTAATAAGCACATTTCTTTTAGAGAAACCAAAGATTGTGATCTTTGGACATACTGATTAGATTTCTTCCTCTGTCAACAGTTTCAGTCTATGAACGTGAACAGGTGGTTTGACTCTGCAGCAGCAGTGGGAACTTCAGGATTCTTTGTCAGCAAGTGTTTGAATGCCTTTGGAAGAACTTCCTCTCTGAGTATTTAGATGCCTCTTCTCTCTAGGGGTAAAAGTGTGTGCTCTGTGCCTGGATATCTATTATGTAGCTCTATAGTTCACTTATTGAATATCTGTTACATACCAGGCACAGGGTTGTCTTACATACATCTCACTTAATCCTCACAACCACCCCATGAAATAGCATGGCATAGGCATATGATATTCTCTCCACTTTTCAGATAAGGAGGCTGAAGTTCAGGTAGATCAATTTCCCAGTGTGCCTAACGATAGCACGGCTCACCAGATCTGCCCGCATTTTTCAACTATAACAGCGTGCCTGGGAGTGAGCTAGCTGGAGAGTTTTAGGAGATGAGGTTGGGAAAGTGGTGGAGGACTTTGAATTTTATTCTAAGGGAGACACCAAGCTTTGGATTCATTTATTCATTTGGTGCCTATTTATTGGGCACCTAATGTGTACCAAATAGTGTAGGCACTGGGGGCATGACAGTGGATCAAAAAACATAAACCCCTGCCTTCCAGAAGCTTACATTCTGGCTACTGGAGGTTTTAAACAGAGAAATGACATGATCTAGTGTAAGCTTTACAGGGGTCCTTCTGGCTGTGGTGTGGAGCTTCATCTGCAGAGGGGTGAGGGTTGTGGCAGGGACACCAGTTAGGAGGCGACTATAGCAATCCATGCAAAAGAGGTCAGGGCTTGGATCCCAGTAGTAGCAGAGACGAGAAGCTGGATTTTATATAGACTTAGAAGAAAACATCAATGGGATTTGCGGAGCAATTGGATGTGGAAATTGCTTGTCCAGGCCTTAAGTAGAACTCCGATCAGCCTGCATCCTCAACCTGTGCTCTTTTAATTATGTTAAAATGCTCAAGCGTAAAGCGGCTTCACAACAGTATTCAATTTAGTGAAAAACAGCTCCTTTTAAGCTCCTTAGCACTAAGCTTATGAAAGGAGAATCCTAGTTGGTGCCCTGAGGAGGCAGGACAGAGCTCCATTTCCCAGGAGCGTTTATCATCCAGGCTGCAGTTGACTAGCCTGCTCCCTCGAAGGTCACATGCCTGGGTGGCAGCACTTGTGTGGTTATACATGAGATTTGTAGCATGTCTGTCTCAGAGCCACTCAAAGTCACCTTCCCTAAGGTGAGGCAAGAGGCTGGGTCCTCTTAATAAGATTTAAGCCCACCTTCACGTTTTTCTCCCTGTGTTATTTCTCTGAAACAACATTATGTGGTCCAAATCAGAACAGGTTTTAATTCTCGGTCACAAAGTGGGACATTTAGTGTATAGTGTTCCAATTTTTTTAAGTTTGGGCAACAACTTTCTTGTAGTTAACTTTTACTGAGCAGACATAGGCACTCAAAAATGGTTTTAGATATGCCAGATCCACCAGTAACTTTAATAACCTCAAGATCCAAATTTGTGTTTCCCAAGTCAATGAAATTGTCACCAAGCTGTTTGTGCAGTAGGTGAATAAAATGTCATCCTCATTCAATTAATTTTCCTTGACCTTAAGTGAATGACCTTATATTTTCAAGTAGGAGAGGAAAATGACCATGGGTGAACATAAATATTGCATCTGCTTCACAGCCATTACATTACTGAGGATACCATGGGTGGCTTTCTAAACTTGTGGACTTAGACTAACAAGCAATCTCCTACATGCCTTATCTTGAAGTAGAGTCAAATGACTGAGTTTCAATTAATCATTGGAATGCCCCATGATCTGCCTAGAGTCCTCCTAACTGTATCTTCATATGGGATCTAATGTCCCCGCAAACTTGGCCATCCATTGGGTCCTGCTGGGCACGTTGTCCAGTTAAGGATATGATTAGAGGCTCTCATTTCCTTGCCTGCGGACAGCATTTGCACAACCCTTTTTTCCATTAATCTGCCCTGGAGATCAGTCCTGAGGGTGCTGCTTTGCTGTGTCAGCCACACTCTGAATCAGGTAGCCATACCAGCAAGAGATGAATATGCATGCCTCTGATTCCCTCCTGCCTCCAGAATGCAGATGAGGAGCCTTGCCATTTTTTTAAAATTTAAAATCATCTGGAGAAGCGCTTATTTTATTTTATTATTTTTCCCAGGGCTACGTCCGAAGAGGACTCTGCGTTTGGTGCTCTGGACTGCCGAAGAACAAGGTGGAATTGGTGCCTTCCAGTATTATCAGTTACACAAAGTAAGAAAGCAGTCATGGATTGCTGGGCATTTGCACGTGTAATATCAATGTAAATCTACTAAAAGCGTTGGTGCTTTTGGTTTAAAGATTCCCTGTATTGTCCTGAAGACTCTCAACAGTACTTTGTGGTAGGCTGACCCCAGCAAACACCCCTTGCAAAAGCCTTCTTTTCAAGTCCTATAAAGAAGAATGCACTGGTTAACAGAGGGTGCTGGGGTGTGGAGCTGAGGGTTCTTCTATTTCTACGTCAGTCTGTGGCCTTAGAAAAATCCCAACTGCTATGTTGCCATTTTCTTAAAGTCTCTCTAGTTCTGCTACACTGGTGGATGCCAGAGAAATAGTAATAGGTAAACATTCCTTCTCCCCATGGAGCCTACTGTCATACTTTGATGCCCTAAATCTTCCTGGGAACACTAGTATTTGACAGCCAAGTCCTGAGGCCTGGAGTCAGCCAGGATCATTGATAATGACAGTGGGAAAGGCAGCAGCAGAGGTCTTAGACCTGGGAATGTGGAGGACAGCTTAGTTTGACACTGAGTATAATAAGGCAAAAGTGAAGCTTGAAGCAAGAAGGTAATAGTGGAAGATCATGATTAGAAATAAAAGACCACATTTAAGGTGAGGGACAGGGAGATTAATATCAAGAACAACCTTTGAGAGAAGGCAAAGTCTACAAGCTCAGAAATACTCTGAATTAACTCAAATGTTAGTTCAAAGAGGAATTCCCAAATCAATGGGCAGGCTGCTGAGCAATGATGGTTCGGCAGAGGAGCAGGGTCTGGTCTGCTTCTGCTGCTGCTGCTGCTGGATTGTTTTTCATGCATCCAGATTAGAAGGAACAGATTTTGCAAACTTAAATTATCAAATCAGAGAGAGGTTTATTTATTTCCGAATTGTGTTTATATCCTTTTCGATCATTTTACAGAGTCAGTGTCTATGACCCTATTTCAGTTAGTTAAAGCTTAAGAGAGGTGAGTTCAGGGTCATGAATTTGGTCACTGAATATGGTTATTTACTGTACAAAGGAAAACCATGCCTATGCCCAACTCTTTCACCACTTCAGTTCTTCTGTCCCAAGTGACCCTAGGGAATAAGATAATTACAGATAAGTGTCCTTTGGTTGATGGGTCAGTGATACCTTTTATATGTTGTGGTGGACAAAAACATTAAATGAGATTTATTCTAGATCAGCAACAATCAATTGATATTTCTGACCACCTATTATGTTTCATGCACTATATTAGGCATTAGGTTTAGTGTCATTAAAACAATTCACCCTGACCTTACTGAGATTGCGATCTAAAGAAGGACACTGACTACTGAACTTCAATTATAATATAACATGGGAAGTGTTCTGATAAGGAATAAAGTATTGATGGCAGAGACAGGAAACTCACCTAACCGGGCCTTGGGAAGCGGTTGGGATAGGCTAAATGGAAGAAATGACATCTAAGTGGAGACCTGAAGACTGAGCAGAAGTAAGCTAAGGTAAAAAAGTTGTCAGGGAGGAGGTCAGAATTGGGTAGCAGGAACTGTATGTGCAAAGGCTGTAGGTAAAGAGAGCACAGCCCACTGGAGAAGCTGAAAGGAATCCAGAGTGACTGGTGCATAGAATGCAAAATGCATAGAGGGGAGGTCAACAGCCTGAACAAGAATGTATGAATCATGTTCAGGAGTTCTCACTTTATCCTGAGGCAGGAAGGGTAACTAAATTATTTTTAAGGAGAGCCTTTTAGATTCTATACATCTTGAACTCAGTAAAAAAGAGAATACTTAAAGAACTGTTTTAAAGTGTGTTTAGTGTCAATAATATACTCTACTCCAAGAAAAAAAAATTGGATTTAAACTGCAATGGATCTGGCTTAAAATGTCCTCAACCACTGAAATTCTTTAGATCTATACAAAGGTTTATTTCTCTGTAAGATTTTGAATTTGACTGTCTACTAAAATACATGGACGAAATCAGAATGACTTGATTTTAAACTTCTAAAGATGGGCAGGGATATATACATCTCTGATGTACATGTAAAGGACATGCAACCACATTAACAGAGTTGCTTTATCTGGACAATATCCATGTTGTCTTTATATAAATGTGTCTATATATTGGTGGTTGGTGTGATTTTCATTTTAAGAGACGGAAAGAAGAAATTCCAGAAAGGGGAACTTAGGTGTTTTGTTTTAGGATAGCTCTTTATCTCACCTTTAAAAAGACAGTCTATGTGTTTTATATGCTACAGCAAATTTCAAAGGACTTATTCTGTGTTCTTATGATTAACATATGGATAGAAGCATTGTCAAGAACATAATCATTTCTGGGGTGGTTGAGTTTAACTTTACATAAATATGATAAGCAAGTCACAAGCCAGGGAGGACAAATCTGATTGTCTTCAAACTTCTCTTATAGCATCATTTCATGCCAGAAAATGGTCAATGTCCAGTTCACTCCAGTCACAACAGAGAGATCCTCTGTTCTAAATAAGATTATGATAGCTGCTGAAACAAATTAGCCCTAAAATTTTAGTGGCTTAACATAATGGAAATTTATTTCTTGCTCACTTAACATCCAGTTTAAGGAGGGCTCGGCTCGAAATAGTTATTCAGGGATCCAGGCTGATAGACTCTTCAACAGCATGGCTTTTAATATTGCCTTGAGCATCAATCTTCAGCTGACAGTCAGGGGAAGAGGGGCAGGTTTTCAGGGACAGTTCTGGAAGTGGACATGGAGTGGCAGAGAGTTTATGTTCGCTTCACTGACGTCTGAAAGGACCTTCTTCCCCCATTAATCATGGTTACCTCTAAGAGAAAACTAGGATTAGGTGGATATAGTGAGTTGTATAACTGAATTGTTTTAACTTTCATGAAGTAAAAATGTTAGTTATATAGTGAAAGGAAATAAGTAAAAAAAGCAGGGGCATCAGTAAACATTTACTAGACAAAAGTTTTTATTTTATTTGAAAGAGAATGCTATATCTTATAAACCACGAACGGCAGGCAAAGGACTATATCCTTCCTCCTCCAACGAATACTCACCAAAACACTTGAAGTACAATTAGAGACTAGTTACCACCTCTGAGCTTTTCAGGCCTTGTGTTTTGCCTTCTCCCTTCAAATAAGAAACTAAATATACTACTGGCCGCCAGGAGAACTGGTTCTAGTCTTCGTTCTGCCAATATGAGACATCAACAATGAAGTCCCTCAGCCTCTCAGAGACTCACTTTTCTCATCTCATCTTACTAAAACTTATCTCCCCTTCTCAACCCTTGCAATGCGGAGAGAATCCCAGGTTATAATTATGCTTTGCTCTATTGAGAACACAAATTGTGATTTTATTTACACTTGAAATGTAATGTACAATTAAGCATGCCATTCTAAGTTGTAGTATCATCTGTGAGAAAACCAAGGCAATATTATCTTCAGCGGTACAACCGGAGATCAGTAAACTATTACTGAAACTACAATAGACACTCCAGCCTGAAAGAAGTTCAATCTAGCATCCCTGTCACACTTGCTCCTTCTTCTCTATTCATTATTTCTATTAATGACAGCATCATCCTCCCCATCGCCAGGTATCAAAATGTCATGACATCTTTTCCTTCTTCCTCTTCTTTGTGCCCCACATCTAATCAACAGTAAAGCACTACTGAGTCTACAGTCTATCACTTTAGATGCATCCTCCATTTCCATGCTCTCTGTATTTTCTTGAGGTCAAGCTTTCCATTATACCCACCATATCAAGTTAATCTTCCTGAAGCCTAGCTCTAATCAAGTAAGCCCTCTGCTCCCAAACCTTCAGTTGTTCCCTAGTGCTAATAGAATCCAGTCCAAACTCCTTAGCTTCTTGGCCCTTGTGGTCCTCCATGCCTGGTTTCCTCCCCACCCTCTCCTCTGTGTCCTCTAGTCTGGCAAAAATGAGCAATTCTTTCACATCCCACACTGATTTTTCTTTGTATCTTTAATCATACAGTTCCTTTTCCTTACATTCCCTTCCTTCCCATCTCTGCATGTTCTTCAAGGATGAGCTCAAATGCTTTATTTTCCATAGAACATTCTCTGACTAAATCTCTAACCCCTGATTGAATATAATCTCCCTATCCTTGAAACTAATATAACACCTTATCTAGAAATTTCTAAAGATGTGAAATACTTTCTAATCTATAGGAAGGAAAGAAGGAAGGGAGGGAGGGAGTCAGGATGAAAGGAAGGAGAGAAGGAGAGAGGAAAAAAACAAAAGAAGTCAGTCTTTAGCCATAGGACCTTGCATTCTACTTAAAAATTAACTTTAAACTCACACATAAGAAATTTAGTATAAGAAACAATATATAATGAGGTTCTAAGGTATTTACGAAAAGTATCTTACTCTCGTGAAGGACTCTGACAGTGTGCAGAGTGGTGTAAAGGCTTAATACATTAAATGTAAAGGGGTTAGAAAAGAGAGAAATGGCTATAAGAAATAGTCATGAGGAAGGCTCAGGACACAATTCTTGAGGAGTAAGTGGATTTGACTGGGTAATCAGGAGGGGAGAAAAGGGAAAGTTATTTCTCTTCATACTAAGGATAACTGAGTTCTGAGGTATGCCTTTGGCATCAGTATGGATGATGTCAAACAGGAACAGAACTTTTATTGGGGAGCACCTGTTTTGGTGATTGTAAAAATATAATATTTGCACTTTTAAAATAACTCTGCTAGCATTTTTATGGTGCCATTGTGGTTATCAGGGATCAGTAAGTTATGGCCTGTGGGCCAAATCCAGCCTTCCACTTGTTTATGAACAGACCTCGAGCTAAGAATGTTTTGTATACTTTTAAATGATTTGTGATAGAGACTCTGTCTGGCCTGCAAAACCTAAAATATTAAATATCTGACCCTTCACAGAAAAAGTTTGCTGATCCTTAATTTATATGATAAAATCATAAAATATTTTCACATTGTTATTTCTATACAATAACTTCTTTATGGCCTTATATGACCTAAATGATAATTTTATAAAATTTTTTGG